AACCATACAATTGCAGCAAATGTTTTACAATATACAAATAATGAATAGGTGGTAGATAAGATAATGTAAAATATATTTTAAATTTTGGGGTTTGAAAATCGATCTAATTTAACATAAAATTAAAAACATTCAATATCTACTAATAGTGATGTATTATTATTTGCATTCACAAAATTTATTTATATATTATAATGTTTACTGCAATTAATAAACTAATATAAACTTGTCAAAAGATGACTCTTAACACAAAAACTATCTACATTGACTATGGAGTACGATTTCAGCCATATCGTAAAACATTTGTTGCATTTGTATGGTTCATAGTTTATCTGCCAAAGAATTTATTACTAGAAATAGGTATATATATTGTATTTATTAACTGTATATTATGTATATTTCATATAAACTATATCATTTTTAAAATACAAACCAAAAATACGAGGAATAATTACATGTTTTCCATGTATTCTACAACATATTTATTAATCCGTAGTATCTAACTAGCGTGACGTAATAAATCTCGCTCCGAGGCTGTTCTATTAGAGACGGCATTGGGTCAGCATGGCCGCAAGTTGCTGACCTAATAAAATTAACACTAGAAAAGCCCGCGGGAACTGTCAAATTCAAAGTTATTCATTTTACAGACTATATAACGAAATCTGTGACACTCCATGTCAGCATTAATATTACAGAAAGTAGTATCAGCAGTTAAGGACTAATCATTCAAAATGTATTCGTAATTTAGGGTGTATTCCGTTGCTTACCTTGGTTATGGTTTTATGTTCCGTTTCTATCGGTTTCCTGAAAGTTTTCTTATTACGGAACACGGTTCCTGAAAAATTCAATTATAACTGTCACCAAACCAAAACCAAACTAACCAGTGCGAGAAGGCTGTTTTTTCCGGTTTTGTTTGTCAATCAATGTCATTTATGTGACAGAAATCAAGCAAATGTTCGAAGTTCGAGTGAAATTCTCATTTAATTTGTAAAATTTGTAATAATATTTTGTATTCACATCCAAAAGCAATGGAGGTAGGCAGTAAAGGTAAATAAATTTCATTAACTAAATAGAATTACTTTTTAGGACCATTTCAACTTATCATGCTGCCATTGTGTCAGTCAAGTCAGGAACATAAAGAAAACATGAAAAACAAGACAAGCAATCGTGAATGTTTTGTAAGCTATAAAAATATAAATATTGGTTAGATTTGTTTATTTATTATTGATCTGTTTTAATATTGGACCTGCAAATCTTCACTTGAGCTGTCTAACGAGTTTAACAGTTTATTAATAAAGTACTTTTCAATATTAAACTCCATTGAAAAGAAGAAGCGAACGTAAAAGCAGAGAATAGGTACATTAAAAATGCATAAAAGATAAATTTTAGAATAGAGGTATTGTACAACATTTGACGTTTCCAATATTTTACCAAACTGTTCCGTATCAAACCGATGTTTTTCAGGAACCACTCTTTACCGTAGTTTACCGGTCTGGTTCGCCTGGTTTTGCAACGGAATACAGCCTTAGACAAAGAAACAAGAAAATAGAGTGTAAGTGATTTTTAGGTTATGTTACTGACTTCTACAAACTCTATAAACTTATTTTTAAACATTTCTGCTCTGTGGCTTACATCTAACACAGTAATTCACACTAAGCAAGGGTCCGAAGCTGATATGAAATTACAGGGATATACATTTTTTAGATTTAATTCTGCGTACGATGTTAAATACACATCCAAGGCACAATATGTATTCCATTACTTAATTTATATTTACTTAGATTTATGTCTAGTAGTCTAATTAAGTGTCAAAAAATTTTCCATCTACTTAACCAACAGAATAATTTGAATTCAGACTTTATTTTATTAATTGCAGAGTTTCATTACTATACTATAATAAAAACTATAAAGGTGAACTTAAAACAAGAACAAATAGTATTTTAGACACTTTAACTTATTTTTTTTAAGTCTTGCATTAACCTCAAAACCAAACTATCATTCAAGAAGAACGTAAAAAAGTTTTTAGAAGTTCGTTAACTTTTTCTACTACGCACAAAATCCCTGGAAATTTTACAATTTTGCGTAAAATATGATATATTATGTATAGTCGATTTTCCGAAATCAAATGTCGATTAGGGTTCACAAAAACTAGTTTTAGTTTAGTTTCTTCAATTTTGTCATGAAACAGTGGTGTATCATTAATTGGCTCATTAATTTATGAATAATTAATTATCGTGCTCGACAGCATTCATTGCGAACTTACCACAAAGTTCAGCATTAGTCTGGTTGTACCAAAGATGCCGAAGAATGGGGTTGGAAGAAAACAAAAACAGGTATTAGTACAGTCACAACGTTGAAAGATCCAGCTCCAAAATCCCTATTTGCATTTTTACCCTGTAAATGCAAAACCAGCAACTATAGTAAACCTTGCGGATGCAGAAAAGCAGGATTAAAATGTTCAATGATTTGTGCATACTGCAATGGGAAATCCTGTGACAACGTCACTGAAGTGTCACCCGACGAATCCGATGAAGAGGAGTTGGACTTGCCTGTAGATATCCCTCTGGCAGCTGAAGATGAAGAGTTGGACGTATTGAGAGACCACCCTGATGAGCCCAGCACAGCAGACACGATCGACGTTGACATCAATGAGCTAGATTCGTAGGGCTTATGCAGATAAGTTAAAGTTTTTAATTTATCTAGTGGAGTAGACCTCCGGGGAGACCACGTTAAAATAAACGCGCCATATACTTTACCTCTTGAGTGGTGTGGAAACAAGTAAACATTTTCAATAATTAAAATTAATTATTCATAAATTAATGAGCGAATTAATGATACGCCACTGTTTTATGACAAAATTGAAGAAACTAAACTAAAACTAGTTTTAGTGAACCCTAATCGACATTTGATTTCGGAAAATCGACTATACATAATATATCTATTTTACGCAAAATTGTAAAATTTCTAGGGATTTTGTGCCTAAACAGTTGACTTTAGCGAAAATTTTCATAAAACCTTTTTTATAGGAAATTTTATTCTCTTTAATCTTGCTCTTCCAAAATTTTCGCAAGAAACGCATAGTTTTAGAGATATTCACAAAATACCGATTTTGGACCCCATTTTGGTAAGATATTAACTTATACAGGGTTGTTCACCACATACGACACGGAGTATTGTAGCTAAACGATTAGATTTTTACAAATTGTAAGTTTTGGGTTCTTTGAAGGTCTATTAGAGCTACAATTTAAAAATATTTTTACAAGATACGGAGTGTCCCAAATAAGTAAAAATTATTATAGTTTTATTTTTTTAAATGGAACACCCTGTATATTATTCTATTTTTGGATTCTACAATTGAAATAAAGGTAAATTTGATTAAGGTTTATCACACTTAAACCTTACCGTTTTTGAAATATTTTCAATTTTATGAAATTGCAGTAAAAATTTTAAGGCTTTATTTCTCCCAGGGTATCAAAGTTTTTAATACTAAATATTTACTGAAGATTATTTATTGATCAGATATTGTGGTGCAATAATAAAAATTTTACTACCTTATACAGAGTGTCGAAAAATTTATATTAAATAATGACTAGCTTTAAACGGCAATAACTTGTTTAATTTAAACGGAACACCCTATATATTTTACGTGAATCAGATGCACAATGTAATTGTCTATCAAATTGTATTATACCATTTTTCACCCATCTCTTGAAGTTTTCGTAGAAAATGCATTTTCTTATAATTTAGACCTCATTTATACTATACCCATGGAATATTGACATTTCAGATTTTTTTATAGCACCATAATATGTACAAAATGTACAGGTGGTAAATATTGCAAGCCCATTGGCATACAAAAAACTATTTAAATCTTTGTAAAAGAGTATACCAATTAAATATACCACCATTATTTCTTACAAAAAAACATCAAAAGTTAGTTAATTACATACTTGTAAATTGTTTTAATTAATAAATTATTCTAAATAAATGTGGATTTGGCTCAGAAATCAATATAATAATAAGTTATAAAAATAAATGTCTCTGTTTTTATAAATAAGCATTCGTCAATAAATGAAATAAAATTTATAAGGTGTTACTATTTACTACACTATCTAATACACAAAATTCAGTTTTTTAGTATTTGGAACAGTTATTACTATAACGTAAATAGTCAATTTAATGTAGTTTGAATACTGGGATCATATTAATTGGTCCTCTTTAACAAAAAATATTTAAACAGTTTTATTTTTTAATTAAATAAGCGAACTGTATCGACAATATTAGTATCTGTACCCTTTAAAAATTTGTTACATTGTTAAAAATAAGCTAAAATGTCAATATTCCATGGGTATAGTGATAAATGAGGTCTAAATTATAAGAAAATGCATTTTCTATGAAAACTTGAAGAGATGGGTAAAAAATGGAACAATACAATTTGACAGACAATTACATTGTGCATCTGATTTACGTAAAATATATAGGGTGTTCCATTTAAATTAAACAAGTTATTGCCGTTTAAAACTAGTAATTATTTAATATAAATGTTTGGACACTCTGTATAAGGTAGTAAAATTTTTATTAATGCAACACAATATCTGATCAATAAATAATCTTCAGTAAATATTTAGTATTAAAAACTTTGATACCCTTAGCCTTAATTTTTTTACTGCAATTTCATAGAATTGAAAATATTTCAAAAACGGTAAGGTTTAAGTATGATAAACCTTAATCAAATTTACCTTTATTTCAACCGTAGAATCTAAAAATAGAATAATATACAAGGTGTTCCATTTAAAAAAATACAACTATAATATTTTTTGCTTATTTGGGACACTCTGTATCTTGTAAAAATATTTTTAAATTGTAGCTCTAATACACCTTTAACAAACCCAAAACTTACAATTGGTAAAAATCTAATCGTTTAGCTATAATATTCCGTGTCGTATGTGGTGAACAACCCTGTATATATTATAAACTTGCAAAGTTGCAAAACTTCCGGACTTTTTTCCAAGCAAAAATCTCCAATGACTGAACTATATTATTTTTTTAGAGATTATTTAAAAATTATGAAAAATAAGTTGACACTAATTAATCACTAGACCGCTATATGTTATGTAAAAATGACAAAAGTTATTTCACTATAAATTTTTACCTAATAGACAAATAACCTATGCACTTGACACCTATAATGATGAAGTACAGATAGAATTTTTTAGATTTTTTTACAATATTTATAAAAATACTTTTTGATTGATGTATTCTTACGTGCACTATACAGTACCGACTTGCAGTAATGATTCTATGATTCTCAGAAGTACCACAATTTAAGTACTTTTAATATGACGCAATATTATGCTATGTAACTTGTCATTATTTGATTTATTTCTAATATAAGGTACGTTGAAATAAAAACGATGTCATCGTAGCTGTTATTTCAATTTCTTTGCCCAATTTCTTGCAAAATTCTCTAAATAGACACAAAAATACTACAGATTTTGTTTGAATATTATGTAAAAACAATATTATTTCAACGCTTACTATGACATCGTTTTTTTTTCGATCGTACAACTTACTACAAAAAATATATTGGAGGATTTAAAATACAGTTTGTCTTCGCCTGTCTATTTTTAAAATGAACCAAACTGACAGTACAGGAATAAACGTAAACAAAAAATGCCAATTTTTTACTTGATTGTATTTGGACCCTGCCTTTACGGAAAAATATACCCTTTATTATAGAGCGCACCAAAAAAGGAATTCTCTTCATTTACTGAACACTTTATGAAGACAAATTGCATCAAATATAATATGGAAGCAAACATTTTTATAGTGAAGATTTAACAACATTCGCCTCATTATATATTTTTTTAATTACATTGTTATATTAAAACAATCCTAAAATTATGGTAAAAACTCATTATATCGAAGCATTTTTTTAGAATTATTTAAAGCAACATTAAAAAATGAAATGCAACAGTGAAAATTAAAGGAACAAAATAATTTTACTGGATTTAAATAATATTTATTTTTTTGATTGCCCAGAATTTTTTTATACCACCATATCATCGAGAAAAAAACAGCGTCACAGTGACTATTGAAATCAGAAAAAAATTATAATTTCAAAGCCCACTGAGACGCCTTTTATCGATAGTAAAGTTTTCAGATAATTAAAAAAATACTAGATGAGTCCGTAATAGAAAAAATAGTAATAAAGTTGAGAGAATTCCTAATTGTTGGCTCCCGTACATAAAATCTAAGAGCAATGGAAAGACAGAGCGGATCAGAGATGCCTTACAGAACTAGTGAAGACAAGCGCTTTGACAATTATCACTCGGATATGTCTGGTTCCACCCAGTCCACTCTAGCCCAATCAGGAAGCTCGGTCTCGAACTCCCAGCCAGGCCCCTAGAAAAATCAAATTTAAAATTAGTAATAATCTGCCAATTAGTCCATATTATGAGTAAAATTATTTTTTAACATACTTATATTGTTGCTTAATAATGTCGAGTTTGTTACTTGCTTACTTTGTGCAAATTTTAACTTAGAGAGAAGACAAAATTATCCCTTCAAAAACATAGAATGTAAAAAGATGCCATGTAATTCTTAAACTAGCAAAAGTTATGAAATCTTATGTAAAACCAAGTCAGATTATTTTATTTAGTTTATATTGAAGCCCCTATTCAATAATAATTTTGTTATAAGCTTGGTGCATTTCAGTTGATGTCAAAAAATTCCGACCACAGCGCTCTATACGACAGAAATCAGAAGTATTCGCTCTGTATTTCACGCCGGCGCACAGTGGGCAAAAATCCAGAAGTATGTTGAAAAAATTATTTTATTGTACGATTTCATTCAAATTTGGTTGTGAAAACATTCTATGCCAGTAGCCCGTGAACACAGTTAGTTTTGGCTGACTTGAGAGTGGTTGGGGGTGGTGGGGGGTATTCATAAAATGGAAAAATCATCTTTTGACTAATACAGCTACCAAAATGCGGTAAGAATATTTTACATTTAACCAAATTTTACGATTTTTGGCAGAGCCAAGATGAAACAGACAAATATTGAGCAATTATTACTCCTCCGGCATATACAGGGTTTGTTAGGTTAGGTATATATATTGACAACCTCTGTATCTTTTTTATTCGACGTTTTCGAAAAAAGTGTCTTGAATAAAAGTTTAATGGTCTCGAATACATTTTTAAAAACAGTCTTCTTTGCATATACAGGGTGCCTTAGAGATCCTGTACGTGGCCCAACTTTCTTATTTCAAATTAGTACCCAATTTTTTATTTGATTTTTATTTTCTCCTAAAAATCCTAACTACTTTTATGTAGCATAGCCTATACCTGATTTGAAATAAGATAGTTGAACCACGCCCAGACTTTTTGAAGCACTTTGGATATGCGAAATAGACTTTTTTGGCAAATTTATTCCAAACCACTTTCATTTGAGACAGTTTTCGAAAACGTCAAATAGAAAAGATAAAGGGGGTGTCAATGTATAAAAGAAAACCCTAAGTATACTAATCCAATCGAACTTTTATTCAAGATTGTTTGTCATTTGAATAAGTTGGGTCTCTAATAATACCAGACAATATGTGAACAATATTTTATTATTATATTTTAAATAAGTAACAATATTCTGAGAATTAAACAATGACGATTTCGAAAATAACAGAACTTATACCTATTAAAAATATCTAAATTTTATTTTACCACCTACTATTTACTGATATTTTGTTTTATAACAGCTCGAAGCAATGGTCACGAAGTACACATTTTTAAATCTGAAGAAAAATCAATTTCATTTAATTTAAAAAATTAGGTACTGTCAAAATTTGTCAATTTGCCAAAAAATGTCATTTGACATTTATGACATACCTCTTCGGAAATCTTGAGAAAAATTACTTAACTATATTTCAAGTTCTTCTCTAGCTACTATAACAATTAATTTATGAGAAGTATCCACATAAAGGATCTTACTATACACATACGCATTGAGACATACGCTTCCAATAAGTTTAATGTTGCGATTTTTTGCGATTTTTTTTGACTTAACTTTTCTAAGATGAATATATGCCACTATCAAAAAAACCTTAAATGATTATGTTCTACTTTGACCTTTACCTAGTTTTTATCCAAAAAAAAAACAAAATAAAAGATACTTTTTTACTTACCTTGACATTAAATTTACCGCAACCGGGAATCTACGTAAAACACATTATGACAATTTCACAATAATTATTGACAGCAAGCTAAGGTCGTCCGATTCAATTGTTATAATACTGTGTCACTTGAATGCAACGCCTACTATTTAAAAAATTGTAGAAAAAAGGCAGTTATTGAACACAAATTAACTGAAAATGTAGGTTTTGCGCAAAGTTCGTTTTACAGCCCCTCGAAAGACACTCCGAATATGTTTTTTTTTTGTTAGTTTTATGTGGTTTCCTCTTAACTAATATGTTTCCAATCTAATGTTATTGCCATAAATGCTAACTGTGGATGTTATTTTTTGCAACTTGGTTTGGACATATTGCCTACTGTGCGGCGCAGCCACAGTTACAGTTCATGTTGATCGCATTAAAATAATATTGAAATCGTGGCTTTGAAATCTAAAACACTCAGGTACGAGGTTTGTGCGATGTAGTGCTGTTTCGGGTAGGAAAAATTAAGTGAAAAAGAACTCGAACTGGGCGTCGTGTGTTCTGTCAATTTTAACTGTTAATAAAATTGCCGAATAAATGTTAACTCGTAAAGGAGGGCGTAATTACGTGGTTGTTGGGTGCAATAACATACAATAACTCAATTTTCCCGGATATTCAACTCTCCCGAAACAAGATTGTATAGCTTCACAGCTTCTCACACCGATTTGATCAAAAGCAAGAATGGATTCAAGCCATTCGACAAAACAAATGAATAAACAAAGCGCCCTTTACAAAATCAAAAAATTAAATAGACATATACTATGAGAGGATAAAATATAATTCGCAATATTAATGGTATACCCTTTTTTAATCAACTAGGGCTTAATTTTTTTATGAATATCTTCTAAACTATAATTATGTACCCTCAAAAAATTTCGTTATAGCCGAAATAGCCCAAGTTATGTCTCCACTAGCAAAACCGATGCGTAAAACTATGCTGGCTACCTAATAAATAATAAATTATAACACAAACCACCAAGCAAAAAACCTCACATTAAATTTGCAACATTGCAGTCAATCCCCAAACAGTTTGCTTTGTAATGTTGATTTCTAAACGTTGTGTCGTGATTGATGAAACCTTGCTACAGAAACATTGTTTTTGAATGGTGATTAAAATGTTTTTTTCTGCAACATTGCAACAAAAATTCAAATGAAAGATCCGCGCAAGTTAATATTAATTAATAGTATAACAAATATTACCATAGGATCGAAAAAAACGGCGTCTAGTTGGCTTGGAAATGAATATCGATGACATTCCCCATATAAAATGACAGCGATTTTCTTTTCATAGCCATCGCTGACGTCTTTTTTTTCGATCATATGGTATAAATTAGGTTAGGTTAACGCACTTTTACGTTTTTAGTATCACATTTTATGCTTTTCGAATGAGATTTTAATGAATGTAAATGTAAGTATAATTGTATTATTATGTGTGTTTTTATAATACTTATGAATAAGTATAACAAAGTTTGTTTAGTTTAGTTTGTTTTTAAGCTATATTTTATGTTTTAGGTTAGCTTTTAGCCAACTGAAAATTGAAGTAGATAAAATCAGGATACGAGTATATCAATCTAATGATAAAATCACAAATAATATTCAGTATTAATTATTCTCAATAATATTTTTTTAATGATGTTATAATCATTTGAAATTTTTAAAATAAGGACATAAAGGGGCCTCAAAGATTACTGTCACAAGAGGTAAGTTTCTCATTGCTTTTTTTTATATTTATTACAACTGATTGATTTTATTTTTACTACTTTAGAAATGATTGGATATAGATTTCAAAACTTTACCGAAGAGGAATTTGAAACCACGAATAAGACAATTCAACATGATTTCCTTTTGTATTTTTGAATAAGAAATTAAATTAATGTTTATACCGTACCTATATATTTTGTATTATTTCAGACATTCAACTTTAAGATTTTTTTAGAAATTCGACTCGGAGGTCAGAGTTGAGTAATTTCTTATTTAATGAACAGCCGAAAAGATCAGTAAGTTCTCAGTACTTGACAGTATTTTTGATATTTTTGAAACAAGTAGGTGATAAATTTCTAATTTTTATTTGTTTTTTTTTTCAATTTGTTTGACAAATTCGACTTTCTTGGTAGGGATATATTTACCGAGCATTTTTAATTTTTCTAAGTCAATGGATATAGAGATATACCTACATATTTTTATCAATATTGTTTATGTTTTTGGTCAATACAATATTAGTAAAAGTATATTATACCTATCTGAAAGTCTACAATTTAATATCCATTAATGTTTCTATTGATTATAACCTATTACTGATGTATTATTGTTAACATAAAATTCCATAAAATTGCTAATGTTCGCAAGAAAAAACTGTTTCATTAATTGATAAGTAAATATTAAAAAATAATTTTTATATTTTCCCTCTGGTGAATGAAATGGTTTTTAATGAAACATTATCTATTTTTTGCTATATTATTTTAGCAATTAGTCAGTTAATTATAATTAATAATATAATTTTACCAATATTGTATTGACGTAAAATTAACAATATTGCTAATACATCCCAAATTACTACTTTCTTGAACGTTACATCAGCAACGTTTCAATAATATTGTAAAATGCAACCTTGCACTGCAATGTTATTTGGCGGAAGATTGAGCTACCCTGAAACCTCGCATAAACCTCTCTACAATGAAAAAAGCAATGTTACACCTTGCTTTGGGAAGTTTTCGCAATGTTCCAGCAATAAATTTTGCTTGCTGGGGACTTTTTGAAGATATCAAAATATTTAAAACTTTTTAGAATTTTCACAAATTATACTCAATAACACTTTTCGAATATTCGTATAAACTTTTTTCTTATACTCGCTGTTTACACCCGTCTATTTGTATATACTGATTGTTTAGATATTCTCCGATGGTGGCAGCACCAGCGGAGAATGCACCAAGCCTATAAATTGTTAGTATCAATATTAGACACCTTTATTTCTGTAATAATTATAATACCTTGGCAATTTTAATTTTATTAAAAGAGTGCTTACCCTATATTTCCATGCGTGCAAGTACATAACCAAGTCTTGTGGTTTGGGGTCTCTATACCGTACTTTACACTCGTAACAGTGTTGATCCACTGTCATCTTGTCAGGATTAAACGAAAAATCTGGAGCTTCGTGGCCTGTCTGAGTTGCCACAGTCACCTATAATACAAATTTGAAGTTATATTTTGGTTTTCAAGGCTGTTACAGTATACCTTAGCATCATGAGCTGCTCTGTTCCCATAAGACGTCATCGTTAGACGACTTGGTGCCGATTCACAAGCGGGAGGTGATGATCTACTGTCACAGGGTTCGTCGCAAGGTGAAGGTTCTCGAGACACAGGATCTGCGTCATCATCGCCCAGTACTCGACCTAAAAATTAAAAAATTATATTTTTCATCGCCACCCAAGGCCTCTCCAAGATTATTGTGATAAATTACTTACTTTTAGGAACCAGGGGTCCAACCAAGGAGTCGTCTAGGTCCTTTCTGGTGTTGAACATGGAAAGTTCACTGTCGCCGTCCATACCCAACCAGTTTTCCGCGTTGTGAATGTGAATTAAATCTTTCACTAGATCGTCGTCTGTCTTGCCGCCAAGATCGCCTCCTTTGCCTTTTAGGGGACCGAACACTTCGTGGTTGTATAGAGGGTCGTTGACAACAGGATAACCTATATTAGTATTCTTATAAAAAAATTTGTTTTCTGTTTTAGAGCAAGATTCGAGTGCAGCCAGACCTGATTTAGTATTATATTAGGGTAAAGTGCTGTAATTTTTTTCGTGATGAATCATACAAAAACTGAAATTACAAATCAATTGTCTCGTTTTCAGATCGAAAACTTATAAAACTGACAAACTTTTGTCGGGTGACATAGAGGTGGGAATTCTAGTTCCTTGGGAGGAACTAGTTCCATAGTTCTCGTTCCTCCAGAGGAATAGTTCCTTGAACTAGGTATTTAGTTCAGAATAGTTCCCGACTAACATTGACATCCCCCTTGCTTGCTAATGCGTTTCGTTGTCAGTCAGAACTATTCACAGTATGATCTGTATAATTTTTATAATGTACGGAGATATAACGAGAAGTGTAATTGTGTATGTTAAAAACATATAGGTAAGTTTTATTGCAGATAAAAAAATAATAAACTAAAATCAGAATTTAAAAAACTATATCATAAATCAATTGGATTTTTTTTCGAAAAATTGCATTTTTCCTCACTTCTTTTTGTTTTTGTCTAAAAATTCAGAATATCTACTTCGTTTTATAAGATATTTCTTAATTTTAGGGACCTAAATTGAAACATTCCCATAAAATATTTAAAAAACAAACTAAAAATCAAAAACAGTATCAAACGACAATTTTCTGTGGTAATAGACCGCACCGGCCGGCTGTGGCAATAGACAAGGCGGAATCCATCGTCGTCGCCTTATATTATATCTCGGATCTGCCAACTGAATAGATTCCCGTGAACTAGTCTTTTAATAGTTCCTCTATGTCCGGATCCGATAACATACGGCTGGCACTCCCCATGCCTGCCTAGCATCAATCGCGCTGGCTGATCCATACGTAAACTAGTCTTTTATTTAGTTCCTCTAGTTCCTTTAGGTCCGGAACCGATAACATACGGCATACGGCTGGCACTCCCCACGCCTGCCTAGCATCAATCGCGCTGGCTGATCCATACGTAAACTAGTCTTTTATTTAGTTCCTCTAGTTCCTTTAGGTCCGGATCCGATAACATACGGCATACGGCTGGCACTCCCCATTCCTGCCTAGCATCGATCGCGCTGGGCCGATCCGTTCGTACTTAAACTTACTAAACTAGTCTATTTAGTAGTGATGGGAATAATCGAATTATTTTCACCATCGAATAATTAGTAATAATTCATATTTCACAATCGAATTAATAATTCGAATTATTTAGTAGTATTATAAATTTAACCTAAAAATAAATTCGTCCCAGCTAGTGCTCGTCTAGGGGCTATTTTAAACAAATCTGAACCATTGCCATACCTATATTCTATCACTGAATAAAAAATAAAAAAAATCTTTATTCAATGTATTCTATTAACTGTGCCGAAGCCGCTTAATAAATTAAACCATAATTTATAGTTTTAAATTTAAAAGTGCCGAGTTTATGATTGTTTCAATTCCTATTGAAAAGCTCATATCTAAAATAAAAGCTTCTTCTAAAACGATATAAGTATGTCCTTGTTTACGTGCGGTTCGTATTTCTTTTTATTTTATCAGTTGCAATCAATAATTATTTAGATAAAAGAAGAAAATTAATTTTAGCGTTCGGCAGGTGTTCGGTGAAATTTAGGTGAGATGGAAATGAACCAAATAATAGTAGTATTCTTTCGTTCTGAACGAAATGAAAATTTTCACTTAAACTGATTTATTCCTACTTGGTATAGGAAATAACAATGATTTCTGGATTTTTCCATATCGAATCGTTCCTTTCTTTGTCGATTCCCTTTATAAATCCGTTTAAGTGAAAATTTTCAGTTCGTTCAGAACGAAAGAATACTACTAATAGTACTATACTAATTACTAATATTCGTATTCGTCCATAAGAGGTTATGTTTTATGTTCATTTGTAATTCGGTTACCACAGATATAATATAAAATACTACTAATTTTTATCTCGATTATATCGAAAAAGATAATTCGAATTAGTTAGTTTTAATTTACTATCGAATTAGTCGTATTATTTAATTCGAATTTTCCCAACACTACTATTTAGTTTAGTTCCTCTAGGTCCGGATCCGATAACGTACGGCTGGCACTCTCCACTCCTGCCTACCATTGGGCTACGCGCGCTAGCCGATCCGTCGCCGTCGAATATTATTCTATATCGGTCACAGTCTCGATCCCAGAATAGGTTCTGAAGAACTAGTTCTTTGAGAAACCAGGAACTAGTTCCTTTCATTCCGGGGTCGGAATCGTTCATTGGAACTAGGTCGTTCCCGAACTACACACCTCTAGGGTGACATCATTATGGAGTAGTAAAGCGTTCGTGCGTACGATTCATTCAATAGATTTTGAGAAATATTTATTTCGTTAATTGGTGTATTTGTGTTTTTTTTTTGTTCTACTCTTTAAGTGACACTATTAATATTTTAATGTTGCTTACTAACTACATATTCTGGCGGCCCTGGGATCTTGCTCTATATAGAATAATAATTTGAATGAAACCAACCTAAATACTGCAAATGTACACGGATTTGATGCATTCTGCCTGTCTTCGGTTTGCAAAGCACGATGCTAGTCTTACCATTGTATCCCAGTTTGTGGAAGAATGTGCTGCATTCCTTTCCTTTAGGCGATACTTTGCACACTCCAATTTTATAGCTTACTACTTCTATGGGCTCTTTACACAGTAATATTTCACTGCAAAAACAAATTTTTATTATCAGCAATTATTTTTTCCAAAAATTTATACCCCCTATAACTTTTTTAATTTTTCAGATAAAGAAACGAAATTTGGTATCTTGCCATATGACATAAATCAGGATTGATTGACGTGTTCAATTAGTTTCGGTCACTTCTTGTTTCACCGGAAATGATAACTTTTGATTTTTAAGGGTTCCATTTAACCCAAGGTATTTTTTTATTGATAATAATATTATCGATAGAATTTATTTTATTTTTTATCATACACACATGGCCAAAATTATTGCATATAACGATATTTTTATTTTATTTTCAACCTAATATGATTATTTTTATATTTTTGGACATATTGGCTTACTACACGACTAACTAATATAAAATTACAAATCTAAGTGCAACTAGGCTGTTATTATAATTTTATTTCATAATGAGTGAAGATCAACAAAAACAAATTTCATTTTAAACAGAAAATATTGAAAACAATTTTAATTATTTCTCACAACTAATAGTCTGTATTGCCTCCTCGAGCTTCAATGCAAGCTGTGAGACGACGTGGCATGCTCTCAATTAAGTTGTCCAGAAGATGTTGAAGAATGGCTTCCCATGTTTCGCGCGCAGCAATTTTCAATTCATTTAAGGTAAGGGGGGATCATTCCTTTTGGTCGTATATGGCGTTTTAGCATGTTCCAAGCATGTCGATCAGATTCATATCTGGAGACATCGGTGGCCACCACAGTTTTCTTATACCCTCTTCCTCACAAAATTCGCGAACCGCTAAAGTGCGATGGGGAGGAGCATTATCGTTCATGTAAACAAACGCAATGTAAACAAATGCGCAATGAAATCACTCTCTTGGGAGAATAGGGGCATAAATATGAATGGTGAAAGATTGATACATCTCAGATTCGCAGATGACATCGTCCTTGTCTCAGATAACATCGGAGATTCAAAGCAGATGCTCGAAGAATTAGTGCAGGCCTCATTAAAATCGGTCTCCGGATAAATACGAGTAAAACGCAAATAATGACAAACTTAGTGCTGACACAGAACATCAGAATAGGTGACGCCGACATAAAAGAAACACATATATACAAATATCTCGGGCACGAAATACAAATCGGAAAGAACAACCAAACACACGAGATACAGCGCAGAATAGGTTTGGGTTGGGCTGCTTTTGGCAAACTGCGGGAGACCTTTAAAAGTGATATACCCATATGCTTGAAGAGGAAAGTTTATGAACAATGCGTCTTGCCGGTAATTATATATGGAGCGGAAACTCTAACATTAACGAAAAAGTCAGCAGAAAATTTAAGAGTAGCCCAGAGAGCCATGGAGAGAGCCATGCTTGGAATAACTAAAAGAGACAAAATTCCTAATAACACTATCAGACAAAAAACCAAAATTAAAGACATAGTGAAACACGTAACTCGAATGAAATGGAGATGGGCAGGTCATGTGGCGAGAACATCTAAAGACAGGTGGACTAGAAGATTGTTAGAATGACGACGTCGAGCAGATAAAGGTAACAGAGGCAGACCACTGACACGCTGGACCGATGATGTAAAGAGGATTGCTGGAAATTGGATGATGACGGCCCAAAATCGAGAGACATGGAGAAATATGGAGGAGGCCTACGTTCAGCAGTGGACAACGATGGCTACATGATGATGATGATGATGAAACAAATGCATCCCCCACTGCTCCTCGAAATGGACGCACAATGGCTCTAAAACGTCTCTAAAATATGAGGCACCTGTCATTGTACCATCAATAAAAACAAGAGGAGTTCGAGCTCCGTCCATTATACCTGCCCATACCATTATGCTTCTCCCTTGAAACGGGACACGGGGTTGAGCTGCATTCAAGCGTGCTCGTCTTCCAGATGCTCTCCAGACCAAAATTCGTCGCGAGTCTGATACTGGGCCTATTCTTGTTTCATCACTAAACATAACCAAATTCCAATTAGGTCCATTTGCTTGAGGATTGTATTGAGGAGATGAACCTCAGCCTATTGTAGTCGCGTTATTTTCTGCTGTAAATTAAGCTTCGTAACACGTAGAGGCCTCCTTAAATGTAATCCTCTGTCATGTTCTTGAAACATTTACCCCTTCAAGGCGAGCTAACTCAATTTTAATAGCAATACTAGAAAGCAGGGGATTGCGTCGTGCAATTAGGGACATTTCACGATCTTGTACAGCAGTAGTAACTCTCTTTCTACCTCTTCCAGGCCGGTCTGTAACCTCGTTTGTCTCCCTGAATTTTTTTAATATTCGCGAAACATCGCTTTGGTTAACTCCTACAATTTCAGCTATTGCAACTTGCCGGTAGCCCTGTTGGGACAGAGCGTTACTATTCTGACTCTATTAAACTGCGAAATAATGTTTCTAGGCATTTTAAGGCCAAAACAATGGTCAAATTTCTTCTGAAACCCAAGAGACCACAAATCGAAATGTGCAAGAATTTGTAATAATATTGGGTCTGAACGAGAAACATTGTTTACCATATCCATTTTAACAAAAAAATGTTTATTACAGATTATCAAAGATATGTATTAAAAAAATATTCTTTAAATTCCTTCCCGTATATTTTAAACGATATATGCAATAATTTGGGCCATGTATGTATGTGTCATCTATTAACTGATAAAATTAAAAAAAAATAGAGGTGCGTCCCGCTGGCTTGAAAATGACGATCGATGGCATTCTCCATATCATTTCATTAATAAAATGACAGTGATCTTCATTGCATAGCCATCACTGACGCCGTTTTTTTTTCGATTGTATTGTACTTACTCAGGAAATTCGCCTTCAACTCTACAAACGTACTCCTTGGATACCAATCTATTCCTAATTTGGTGTTCCATTTGTCTCGCTTTTTTAGGCGATCTACCAAACAGCAGAAGACCGCTGGTCAACCGATCTAACCTGTGGATTGTTCTCAAATTTTTTAGGTTGTACTCCTTGGCTAGTATGAAGACTACGGTGTTGTGCCTGTACCGTCCACAGGGGTGAACCTATAAATCAATAAATAATTAAAATTACTTCATACTAACAAAAAACTCAATCATTTTTTTGGTTGATTATATAGATCCTGTAATTAGTCCTATAATAATATCCTCAACCCCTCATAGGAATACTAATAATATATTACCTATAACTTAATTACCTTACCTTACACACTACATTATTTTAAAAGCAGAATAGCACAGTCGAAATTAGATAATGTAAATATTACTCAACTTGATTTAACATGCAAATTGTATATTAAAAAAAATTAATAGGCAGTTAGTAGATTGTCATAAAACACAAGTTAAATTGATTTAAATAATAGTCAAGTATCTATGAAGGGAAATTAAAATAACTTTTCAAACGGGACATAGCAAATGCCATGTAAATTTTGAAAAATTATATAAGTCAAATATTATCTCCTTGTATTAGACTTTTTTGAAGAGGCGTTAAAGTTGTACTGTCGTCTAGTATTTTTTTTTGGAATAGGCGTTTTATTTGGAATAGGCATCTAAAAGTTATTTGCCAAATTACTAAAAATTACAGAGAAAGCTACAATTACAATACCAGCAAAAATATTATTTTGTCATTGTCAAATTTGATGTCACATTTTTCTTTTGTTTAGAAGAATTTCTGTGGTTTGAAAAAGACGGTTAATTTTTGTCTGCATTGGAATGATCATGTACAAAAGAATTAGTTGTACTGAAAATAGTAACGGCGGTGTATGAGTTGTTTGCTGTTCATTCCTAGATCACTCGCCCAGGACTCGCTCATACCAAATACATCCATAATAATTCAAGGGATTATCGAAATATTTGTAATACAAGAAACTTTATTCTTCTTCTTGCGGTGCCGTGCCTGTCTTCAGGCGTTGGCAATCTCCATGACTATTTCGTGGAAGAGTTCTCTATCTTCTGCTGCATGAAACAGCCTCTCCACCCCCAGACCGGTTCAGTTCCGTATATTTCTGAGCCATGATAGTTTCTTTCGACCTACCCATCTTTTACTTTCAACTTTTCCTTGCATAATCAAACGAAGAATATAATATTTGGTGCCACGCATTATGTGTCCGAAGTAGCTAACCTTTCTGGCCTTGATGGTGGTTAACAGTTCCCGATCTTTGTTCAGCTGTCCAAGAACTTCCTCGTTGCTTATATGTTCGGTCCAAGAAATTTTAAGGATTCTCCGGTAGCACCACATTTCAAAGACTTCTATTTTATTTATATTCTCGACTTTTAGCGTCCATGTCTCGCATCCGTAAAGAAGAGTGGACCATATGTAACAACATAGTGTTCGCAATCGGGTTTGCGGTGGTGTTCTACTGGTGAGCGTGGTATTCCATTTTTTGAATGTTCTCTTTACGTGTCATTTCAATTCTTGCTTTTACTTCTTCGTCACATGTATTTTCACAACTTTTTTAAACTATACTAAATAATAAAATGCATATATATATATATATATATATATATATATATATATATATATATATATATATATATATATATATATATATATATATATATATATATATATATATATATGTATATGCATAAATATGGGCATAATCAAGAGGGCTACTGATATCGTGTTGTCAAAATAAGGTAATTAAAGGCTTATTTTTTGGTATTTATTATAATTTTGCTAATATCTTCGGTTTGAAAGAAGATATCAAGATGCGGTTTTCGCTGACTTTTTAAGCTTTTACTACTCTTTACTATCAGCTAAAATTACATATACTATTGCATTTAATTTTTTTGAAAAAACGCGCAATGTTTGTTAAATTGTAAGACAACGCCCCCTAGCGTCTACGTTCAAAAGCTAATTATTATTGTTTATATGGTACAATATAGAGTAAGAAATGCTCTTTTAAACGAGCCCTCACTTGTTGGATTCCGATCATCCAATCCAGAGGTATTAATATTCAAATAAAAACAGATCTAACCTTCCCCCACCACTTTATTTTGGTAGATAGGGGAAAATGGATCTCACAAAAAATATTCAAAATTTACTGAAGATTATGAAGCTGTTACTTATAGTACACCTTATCTAGGCAAAATTGTGTAAAAACTCCATTTTCTTATTTTTTGTTGCAGTTGCGCCCCCTAACGGTCGTTCTACAAACTTGAAAATAATTTCCAGCAATTTCGCATAGCCTCTTTAGTTATAAATATTTTTTTCAGCAGTCGCTACGGCTAATACTTTCCGAGATACAGCCGAGAGTTGTTCTTTGTGGGACACCCTGTACATAATATAAATTTCTGTATTTAACGGTTATTTATGCCCATAAAGACGGTTTTTGAGTGTGCTCCACAGGAAAACTTGTTTGGCGAATGATACTGTGGTCTTTTCCTACTGTATCCCCGATAAAAGGGAGTCAATGTTTCAACATGAAGAATATTCAAGTCATTGTTATTTTCTTCCTGTTCAACTATTTTTGTCTTCACACTTCCATGTGCTTTATACCTTAGTGCCTTTAGTTTCAAACCTCCGGTTTATTCTTTATACTGTTGACTTATTCGGTATAGGCTTTCCGGAGACTGAGCTGCGAACATATCTAACAGCGGAAATACTATTTAATAGGTAACTTTTTCAGAAATTGCGAAATTCATAATTATTTTATACAAAATTACTCTGTTTGGTACCTTGGTACCGAATTTGACAATGACACAATCACATTTTTACTTGTATTTTAATTGTAGCTTTGGTCCGTATTATAAATTTTACCAATTTGAAGGCAGATTTTTGCAAATAACTTTTAAATGACTATTCCAAATAAAACGAAATTCTACACAAAAGTGTAGCCCCTTCAAAAAAGTCAAATACCACTTTTGCATAAAATTAACCGTCTCAAAATTAACATGGGATTTCCAATGCCACGTGTTCCGATGCACCACACGGTATAATTCTAGAAGGTACTTATTGCTGCAATGAATTTTCAGTTTTATGCTAAGTAACTGTAAATTAATAAAACAAAGTCGGACTGGTTACACCATGTATAACGGTACGTCCATAGTGCACCGGTTTCTCGCTCTCTCGCCTTATCGCGGCAGACTAGCGGTAAAAAATAGAGGAACAACTGTATGCGCGTGGCCATAGTGCGCCAGTCAGTCAGCTTCAATCGGCTTCAACTGCTTTTACCCGCTTTGACCGGAATTAATTATTGTTTCTTTTTGTCGCTTGCCCGCTTCAGCCGCTCAACAGTTTGATCACCGCTACCTCTTTAGAAATCAGACGACACTAAAACTCACGATACTCAAGACAAAGAAAGAACGTCTCTCTTTCCTTGTCTAAGGACGAAATACTCGAAAACTGAAACGCGCAACCGCAAACACCAAAACCTCGGAAGCATTCGGATCTTAGACAAGGAAAAAGAGGGGACAGCTGACACGCATATTCTCCCGTGATCGGTTAGTGAGGCCAAAATTCGATCGGCGGCCATACTTTGGTGACAAGATTTCGAGGTGACACCGAGAGAATTTTTATGTTTTTTGTGACAACTGTTTTGTTTTAAATTTATAAACTGTATTGTTTAGTATGGTGAGATGTTCAGCGTATGGCTGCAGAGGCCGAAGCGAGAAAAAAGTGGCTGGAATTACATTTCACACATAAAAATCGATACACAACTTTTGTTATATGGTCATAAAATGTACATTTTTTCATTATAGCAGTAAAAATATGTAAAATGCTTTTAATATGTTTTGTACCACATCCAAACCAAACTATTTTTAATAATTCCAAGTAGTATTTTCAATATCCTTTATTATAATTAATGTTTGAAACTATAAATAATGCTACTCAGCATGGATTTCTCCAGTGGCGTAGGGAATTATAATCAGAGAAATACAATTTCTGCAATAAACATTTTTTTTATATATATTTTACATGTAAAAAATGTATAAAGTATTGTTATCAAATATGTAAAATAATTGTAAACTATAAAAAAAAATTAAAAATTCTAGTGATAAAAAATCTATATGTATAGTTGTTATATAACTTGTGGTGGGCTACTTGTTACTAGATATATTTTTTTTAAATATTCTTTCAAAAAATTTGCTAATTTAGGTGTATAATAATAGTCTCAGTGAGTAATTAATAAAAATTTAAAAATAAATAAAATAACACAAAGCTTCTAGAATTGTTTATTTTTTTGTGGAAAATTAGGATATTCTTATGATTGAAGGTAACAAATATTAAAAATTACATTATTCATTGAATCCGTACGCAAGTGTGAATTGATTCATTATTATACCGTATGGTCGAAAAAAAATGACGTCCAGTTGGCTTGTAAATGACGATCGACAACATTCCCCATATAATTTTACGTATAAAATGACAGCGATCTTCATTTCATAGCTATCGCTGATGCCGTCTTTTTTCGATGTCGTTTTGTCTAGTTTTTATGTCATTTTATATGTAGAATTATATGGGGAATATCATCGATCGTAATTTACAAGCCAACTGGACGTCGCTTTTTTTCGATTATACGGTATAATAATGAATCTAGTCAATTCCCTTCACACTTGCTTACGGATTCAATGAATAATGCAATTTTTAATATTCATTTCTGAAATTGTCATTTCCAAACAAACAAGACCCCGTTTTTTTTGATCATACAGTATATATGTATATACACGTTTCAAACATATGTTATTACATTATTTCTTATTTAATTATACATTATACACACGTTAATAAATAAATAATTGTCTTGATAATCAGTCGACTGTGACTGTTAAATAAATTTTGCATTATCGACTTAGATATTCTAATATTATAAAGCTGAGACTATAAAATATATAAAAACCAAAATTGTATATGCATTACACAAAAATGAACGATATATTAGTTTACGTTTTAATAAATATTTTGTACCGTCTAGGTACAAGCTAATTTCTGATGCTACGCCATTGGAGAATCTCGCGTGGTGACAACTTGCCTCACTTTCAGCTGCCGTGTTACCTGTCCCCTCTCTTTCCTTGTCTAAGATTCGGATCCGACACGGAGAGTT